CCCTATGAGTCCCTTAATTTATACAGGAGTGCTCAGAACTCACTTTATTTGCACCATCCCATTTCTGTAGCACTCCTAAGCCTGATTATTAGATGCTTGTGCTGCTCAAGAACAAAGGCACTCAAAAACACAGTGACTCCAGCGATATAGACATTCATGTGACATTCTGGAGTGGGCCAGTGGGCTCTGCTCCATGAGGTCACTTAGAGACCTTCAGTCAATGGCTCTCAGCACTGTGTCTCCAGTGTGTTCATGTCCCAGTTGGCAAGAAGAGGGAGAGAGGACATGGAGGGCAAGGGCATGGAGGGCAATCCTGTCTTACGAGCAAGAGACGCTCATTTTAGTCACGTGGCCTTAACTAGCAGCAAGGGAGTCTGGGAAATGTAGTCCCTTTCAAGCAGCCACTTGTGTAGCTAAACTTCTAAATTATTGGGGAAATGGTGAGAACAATTTGGGGAGACATCTAGCATTCTGCCCTGAAACCTAACTCCTTTAAAAAAATTATAAAGATTTTAACCAGAATGATTTCTGGCAGAATTACAGTGACTTCCTTATTAGGAATTCATCAAAAAATTCTTTACTATGAATATCTGCCTTGTTTTCTTTGGAATGCAGATGCCTCATAAGGGAAAGATGCATGGAAAATATGTCTTCTGTGATGTGCACCTTACCTAACCCCACACCAGTTATGTCACTGTTGGGGAACAGAGGTTGAGTTTTAGAGGTGTATTTCTAGTTCTCAGTATGAATTTGATCCTTGGCATTAAAAAATATATATTTATTTAACTTTATTTATTATTACTTTTAAATTTGACCAGAAAGAGACAGAGGGAGAGAGGGAAAATGAGAAAGCAAACTGACAGGTCCAGGACCTGAACCATAGTTGGCCATATGGGAATCCAGCACCCTAACCTTCTGTCCCCTGGCATTTTTCTTGAGAGTTAAGAAAAGCATCAAAGAAGACAACAATTGGGCTAATTGAGACTGTCCTGAGAGAGCCAGGTTGGGAGGCATTGGGTTTATTTAAGTAGCACAGAGAAGACCAGGAATAACAAACAAGATTATTTTCCAGTGGTTGAGGGCTGGAAGGGTTGAGAAGGTGTAGCCCTCTTTTTTTATTTTTATGTTTTCACCCCTGAGAGTAGAATGGGAATACTGGGTAGAAGTTATCAGCATTTAGCTTGAAATATAAAGAAGGTTTTAGCTAGTTGTCAAAAATTGAATGAGCTGTGCTTTTCGCCAAGATGGCGTTGAAAACAAAGAAGGAAGCTCCTGCCCCCCAAAGCTGAAGTTAAAGTGAAGGCTTTGAAGGCCAAGAAGGCAGTGCTGAGAGGCGTCCACAGCCACAAAATAAAAGAAGATCTGTATATCACCCACCTTCCGGAGGCCCAAGAAGAAACAGGCTTGACCACTATGCCATCTTCAAGTCCCCCCTGACCACTGAGTCTGCCATGAAGAAGAGAGAGGACGACAACACACTGTTCATTGTGGACGTCAAGGCCAACAAGCACCAGATGACACAGGCTGTGAAGAAGCTCTATGATATTGGCGTAGCCAAGGTCAGCACTCTAATCAGGCCTGATGGAGGGAAGGCAGATGTGCGACCAGCTCCCGATTATGATGCGTTGGATGTTGCCGACAAAATTGGGATCATCTAAAGCGAGTCCAGCTGGCTAATTCTAAATACACATTTTTCCACCATTAAAAAAAAAAATTGAATGAGTGTATTAACTAATAATCTACTTACCATTGACGTAGTATATTCGCAGTTTCTGAGATTATTGACTTGGGCTTTAGACTAGAGGGGAGCTGCTGAAGTGGTTTCGGGACTTAGCATTCACCTAGAGCACCTTCTTTATAAGGAGAAATAAATATATTCTGAGGGGCCGGCAGGTGGCATGGTGGTTGAGGGTGCTGGACTCCCACATAGCTGAGTCCCGGACCTGGTGGCTTGTTTTCTCACTTTCCCTCTCTCTCTCTGTCTGTCTCTGGTCAAATTAAAATAAAATAAATAACGTTAAATAAAAATAATTATTTAAAAATAAATAAATAAATATATTCTGCATCTGTCTTGTCTTTCATGGTCCCTAGGTAGGGTGTGTGTCACCTGAACACGGCGGTGCCGTCAGCACGTTGTTTGCATAGTACTCCACCACAGAGCCTTTGAGGGTTTCGAATATGAAATTGCAAATTTTATATTCTGGAATCCTATAGCCCATCTCAGATTCTTCATGAAGTCTCTGACTTTTTCCTTACTCCAGCCATCTCTCTCCTTCCTTGGAACCTGGGTGGGACATCACACGATTTTCTTGTAGTGTTTACTTGCCCTTTAAGGGTATTTATCTCATCTACCTATCTTCCACTCCTTAAGTTGAAGGCCGTTCTCTTTATCCTTATAACCCTTTCACCAACAGAGACATATAGAAATTTTATATACGTAAATATATATATATAATGTAATATATATGTATATATATATACAA